AGTCCTTGCAAGGCACTCTAGCTTTCTTATGATGTCTTCGGAAGACATATTTTCAAAATCCTCCAATGAAAAATTTCGAGTTCCCACATGTTGACTTCTTAACAAGCCTACCACGTTTTCAGGCACCAAGTCTTTGCTCCTGTACAGCGCGCATATTGAATCCGGAGTTTGTGACAAAAACACCACCAGCAAATGATTAGAATCTTCCCAGGGTTTAATCGTTCCAAGAGTCGCACTCATGTCATCCGATAAATTTTTAATTTGTTCAGCTTTAGAATCAATTGATCTCGTGGAAAATTCCATGGACACGGATAGTAACGTTTCTAACAAGGTTTTCCTGATACTCTGGTCTCTGACCATCGATTTCAGTTCTTTAATTCGAAAGAAGGTGCTATTCGACATGCGAACCAATTGGTCGGCGAACACATCAAGAAAGATTTCAAGGAATCGATACGATGCGACGTCTTTGGTTTTCTTATCAAAAAAGTATTTTTGAAGCAATTGTTGGCAGCGTTTCGGAGGAAGAAGGGTTTCAGCCTCTTGTGATTCGACAAAAAGTATATTATCCTGGTCAATTATATCACGGTCGTGTGCATCCAAATACCTTGAAACTATTTGAATTGGACTATTGTACTGTCGAGATACTATCAATTTATTAATGTTCCATGAAATATGATGCCTTGGCAAATAGCCAGTTAGAGGAAGAGAATTGAGAAGATATTGATTCAAGGTTGAAGCAACCTCAATAAAAATTACAGTTGACGGTAAACATGCTATGTCGCTTCCGTTAGAAGTCATCCCCAAACTGAGTAACTCGAACAGGAACATATTCACATCATAAGGATGATCTATTAATACAATGTTCAGATGGAGGCTCTCAAATTTTTTGAGTTTTAGCTCGGACAACTGACGAACGAGCATTGCAAACCTAACGCCATCACTGATCAATAAATTCCGCGGGGTCCATCCTTTCTGATAATTGATTTCCCTTATCACTTCAGTCTTACCCTGACCGGACAAATCCGATGAAACGCATGTCACATTAGGACACAATTCCTGATAGATTTTACTCATGGATTCCGCTCCTAGCCCTTTGGTGATGAAATGAACATCTTGACTGAATTGTTCGAGGATATGATGATGCATTCCAGCTTCTCGACAACATATTAAGGCTAGGTGAAAATTTTTTTCCAACAAGGATAGTGAACGGATGTTGTTCACCAACTGGTACTGGAGTTCGAATTCGAGAATTTCGACGTTGGCAATACAAAATAAATGGTTATCGTATCCATTCCTCACAGCAAAGAAGCACCGCTTTGTGAAAGTTATCAATTCCTCTAATTTAGTCGACGCCTTGCATATTAAAAGTTGCCAAGGTTCCGGATAGTAGCCATAGTTTGAAAATAAACTCATGATGATATTAGGCACGCTAAATTTATCGTTGCAAGCAGCAACGAATAACTGACCCGGTTTTACCACATTAGAAGTAATTCTTTCGACTTTCTTTGCGATTAACCGCCTTCGAGGTGGAACATTGCTGAACATGTGATTTAAAATGTTCCCGATCATTTGTAAAATTTCCAAAAAGTCATCCTCACGAGAAATATGATCGCTGAACTCCCCGAGAGATGGCAGCTCTGCCTCATCACTCACAAATCGTAAAAGCTTTTCACATGTATCCGTGATAATTTCCATCTTACGACCATCTTCTTTCCCTTTATCTTTAAAGAAGAAGTAGTCATAAAAACTTAAAATGTGACGAGCCGGATAAAAAGTTAGGTAGTAATGTTCTTTCTGTGCCACATTCACAATTTTGTCCCATTCCTGTAGATCAGCCGTTAAATTTTTGAGTAGCTCTTCCATATCCTTTGTAGAAGAGGTTGAAGCACCAAATCTTCGATAGGTGAAATGTCGTTCGATCAAGGTAGATGCGACGTTAATTATTTGAAGTGCAAGATCAACCTGAATGACGAATTCATTCATGTCATCTGCTGTAATTTCATCAGTTTCACCATCATCATCATCAGAAGTTTTCGATGTGACGGGTGCCTTGGCAATTAAAAGGGCACGTCCTCTCAAGTCTTGTAAGTCAGCAAAGCTGTTTATAATAATCAGAAATTTTCAGTAGGAGAAATTAAAGAGCAGATGGTATGTATGTCCCAGAAAAATTAAAAAATTACCTGTAAGTTGTCAAAGTTTTATTAGATTTGTTGCTATGATACGATAATTTCGCCGTGCATCTTTGTTCTTCAGTTTCCGAATTCGTGAACTCGTACGTTCCTTTTACGACACAATTCTTTATTCGTTGTTTTGTTATCTCTCCACGTTTTGAGAGGTTCTGTCCATTCGAAAGTTTAACTGAATTAATGTTTTCATCTTGACCTTCAATGAAAAAGAATGTAACTTACTTCATACATGTTCTTCAATGCTTGGTAATTTGAGTTACAAAGCTTTACTTTGTTGGCCAACAAAGGGTTACTCTCAGTAACCTTTAAAAATTTCGACAGGAACATATTTATCAAGTGACCAGAAACATCTTTAGAACCTTTAACTAGGAGCGGTTCCAAGATTGATTTGACTTGAATAAAGGTGGACACGGTATCTGCCTGCATTAATCTTTCATCCGAATGATCATCTACACCGTTAATTAAATTTTTCAGGTCATGACCAACCAAAGATTTGAGAAATTTGATAAAATCTCGAGATGCCGAAATTTCACTTATGGCTTCCCAAGACTTATCCGATATCCTGTTGAGGTCTAAAGAATACCTCAGATCTTTGAATATGAGGATTACTTTCTCAAGAAGCAAATCATTGTCTTTTAAATTTTGCAATAATTTACTCGCCCAAAATTTATCATCAACGGGATATTCGAAAATCTCTAGCGCCTCAATCAGTTCTTGCAGTCGATTATTCCACACCGGGATTACTACCAAGTGTTCAACTGTCGTGGTTAGCTTTTTTCCACGCTTAGAGCCTTTGACGATGTTGCAATTTGAAAGCAAAAATATCAGCTCAGAATCAACTTGCTCGGGTTTGATTTTACTCCAGAAAAGTTGAACTTCCGGATATTTAAGTTTTTCCCAATCATCATATCTTTGACAAGCTTTATCATAATTATCAATAGCATTTCTGATGATTTCTTGTGCCACAACTTGAACATTTAATTCGCGCGTTTCTGATTCCAAGGTAAGCTTATAAATGTTGCTGAAAGTGCGTGATTCAAAAAATTTGAAAGCTGCATCCGCGGCCGGAATTGTTTCACTGTGCATTCCCCAGTGATCATCAGAACATGAATTTTCAACCGTGGTATTGTTCATCACCTCTTTTCGATTTTGCAAATCGATTATATATTTCTGATAATCATTTATCCGTTTAGAGGAACAAAATTTCGTGTAAAATCTGTCCAGACGGAAAAATGTCGTGGTGTAGGTGACACATTTGTGACGAAGTGTGTCAAGCGCATTATCGGTTATCGTGAGTTCAACGTGATCTCCAACTGCAGAGTTGACAAGTTCGATAAAAAGATTTTCGTCCTTTGCGAAAATTCGAAAAATATCTTCTAGCAATCCGATGGTTATGGTATTTTCCGCAATTTCCATTGCCAAGTTTGTCAAGATATCTCTTGTTTCTTGGACGAACGGATGTGAGTGAAGTCTTTCTGTATTTCCCGATGAGAGGAAAATGGTCTTCCAGAAATTTGAAGATTCTAGTATTGAAATCTGAGTATTAAAAGTATCCTCTGCGTGTGGTCTTTCGGGTGCATTTTTTTGCAAACAATCGAATATATGATAAAGTAATTCTTCGCAGGCCCTAAATGAAAAAACCTTTTTTTAAATATTTGCAACAAATTAAAAACATCTTTATCAATTAATACAAACTCATTTTTTATGTCAAGCATCTTTTTCGAGTCACAGATGCGCATTATTTTCTTCAATAGTTGATCGTTGACGTCTTGCACATCGCGATCTAGCCTAGTCGTTGCCAATGCGACATAGTGCCTTATAACGTCAGGTTCAAAACCATCGACAGAAGAAGCCATCCCGAAAATGAGATCATCAGATAGAGGATCCAGTTGGTTGTTCACAATTTTCTTCAATTCTTCACAAATTTGTGACCAATCTTCAACCATTTTATACACCGAGGAAAAATTTTGGAATGTAATAAATGCAATGTTTTTTGATAGTGCAGACGATGCTCTACTTTTCGACGCCAAAAGTGCGGTTAACTTTGGAAGCCACGTATATGTGGTAGCCAAAGCTTTATTTATGAAGAACGGCTTAAAGCCTTGATCTTGATCCAATACTAATTTCAAGATTATGAGATAATTTTGCAACAATGATAATTGGTCCGAGGACGCTACACACTCGAGTATTTTTACGAGATCCTCGATTGGCCAAATGAGATTTTTCTCCTCAAGGATGTTATTCAAAGATTCGACATCGCGATGCTCCCATTGTGCGCCCCGATACTGCAGGTATTTTAAGAGCCTCTCGCGAAATATCTTCTTTATGTCAAATTGGCTCTCGTTACGAACCTCTTGAAAATGATTATATAATTGAAAAGGACTATCATGCTTGATAAAATCATTGATTCTTTTTTCAACTATGAACTTTAGACGCTCATCAAATCCTATAACTTCATTCAATATAAAAAATAAACTTTCCAGATTATATGACAACTGCAACAATCTCTAAAAAGATTTAAAAGAAACGAGTGAGTGTGAGACTTTGGATTGTGAAATTTAAGGTAATAATTACCGATGCAACCCGACGAATTAGATCATCTTTTTGTTTTATTTCAGAAATGCGCGGTTGCACATGATCTAACAGGGACTTTTGAAAACGAGCAGAGTTCTTGGAATAATCGTAATTGATTATGACTTCCAAGAAAGTGTATTCCTCATCAAGTTCCGGCGCAAGGGTAAACATTCTAAACCACTCAAAGCTCCCATACTTGGAACTATGTTGAGTTAGGGCTTTTATGGATAAAATCACATAGTTCTTTGTTCCCGAGATTAGGCTTAGATCATCAAGCACTTCAAATAGCGTGTCAGAAGGAAAATCTGCAGGCAATGGAATATTATCAAATTGTCGTTTTCCCGTCTGACTCATATAATAGCCGAGAAGTAGAAATAAGAAGTAACGCTTTTCCTTTGTATTACAATCAATCACCCGATCCTTAATAAAGCCAAGATTTGTTGCCAATCTTGTATATTCCCTGTGATCTTCAAAAATCCTCTGATATTCTATTAATTTATCTTTCAAATTGTTATCACTAATATGTTCGTATATGTAACCGACAAATGCATATTCCTTTTTAAGTAACTCGGGTTCAATTTTGTATGCGAAATAATTATCTCTCCAAATATCATAATGATTTTCATAAAGTTCCAACGAACGGTCAGCTTGTTCTCCTTCACCTTCAAATTTTAAAGTGTTTTTAATATAACCCTTGGAAAATATCGCGTACTTGTATTTCACCTCGACATTATTTGGAATTTTAACTGGATCGGATATCCAAAGAGTATTCCCAACATTTTTAAGAAGTACTCGAGGTTTTTCTTTATCCCATCTACCTAAAGATTCGCAACTCCCAAGAACCGCGGGTACATTATTGGAACTAAGCTTAGGCATGTGGACGTGGAAAACCGTGGTGATGTATAATAGACTTATATCAACATTTTCATTCGTTTTCGAGTTATTGGCATTATCGCCCCAGTTCACTACCGCATTAGCACCCGAAGATGGGGCATCACTTGTAGATTGACTATTTTCACCCATTTCCGTTTTAATCGCAATTGATCAGGAGTATCCAAGAAAGCCCGAAACTTCATGATTAAATATGAAAAATTAAGTCACCTGATTTTGATTGTGCAACTTAATCGGATGGTACAGTAATTGTTTCTGGTTTTGGAAAAATGTAACTACGTCATACCTTGTTTTCATCACATTACAGAGTAAGGAAGCTTCGAGTATTGCGAGTATTTTAGGAAATAACGGTTAGTGTCATTAATGCCAAAATCTAAAATAATGAAAAAACTCTATCGCTATTATTATTATTTCGCATAAATATTCTTAGATCATATATATCTGACAAAATGCAATGACGAATTTTCAAACACTACGTGCTATAGATGAGCCAAGTCGTTTTTTTTCTTACAAACTATTTGAATGAGTTAAAGGTACAACAATAAAAAACAATATAATATACACAAGCAAATAGAATACCTTTTAGTATTACGGCATGCGATAATAATAAAAAATCAGTTTATTTCGTCAATAGAAAAATATAAATGATTTAATTTAATTGTTGATTCGTAAAAATTGATATCGTAAATATGACCATACAATAAAATAGATGCCCTAACGTATAATAAATATAAACATAGGTTATATTGTCACGAGTGAAATATTTGAATATATAAAAAATATGTAAGGCTTTAAAACATTAAAATGCCAAATAATTTTCGTGCAAATAAGACTCCACTGTCGGGTTTTAATAAAATGTATGGTGAAAATCTAGTGCAGTGCAGTTAATGATAAATAACGACCTTTTAAACATATGTTACATTAAATTTATTAATAAATACACGATATTTAAATCTTATATAACGATTGAACAGAAATAAAAATAAATATTATAGCAGTTATGTAAGGCGAAAAAAATATGAATACGAAAAGTTTATTTGGTTTTAAACTATTAGTATGTAGTTTCAGTAAGTATATTATATTATATTTATCAAAAAGAAATAAAAATTTATTGTTAGAAATACATATATTGTATAATTATTTATATACTTGCTAATTGTATTACAGGAAATTACAAAAATAAAAAAAATAAAAATAAAGAATTAAATCAATTAAAATTGTGACAATAAGTACGTAATTATTTTAGATGATTTTATTAATTAAATCAACAAAATATTATCAACATAAATTATTTCTCTTTTTAACAATATCAAAACATTATTGCTTAATTTGATTAATATTTAATGTAATATTAAAAATTTTTCAATAATTTTAATTATTGATGTATAATATTTAATATCCGTAATTGATTTTGTTTTTATGGCAATTTAATAAAATAAAAATAATAGAAATTCATTGTAAATGTTAAAAATAAAATTTTTTATTAAAATTTTTAAATATAAACAAAATAATTTTATGATTATTAATTATTGATTAAACTTTATTAAAGAATAGAAAAATATTTTATAATAAATTTATATTATAATTTATATATATATAAGAAATAAATATCTATAAAAATACATAAATTAAAAAAAAAATCTTTTCTATATACACAGTGAAATTTGATATAACATAATCCTAGGGCAATTAGTAAAAAATTTTGTAAATTCCACTATAGTAAAATTTTTTTAAATTTTATTACTAAATCCATTATATCAAGATTGTTTTATTTTAACTTTTTTTGGGTCTATTTCATTATATTGACACTATATCAAATTTCACTGTGTATAACATTTTTTTAAATTTTTTTTTATAATAAATTTTTTTCAAAATTAAAAAAATATATTTTTTTTCATCTTTTAATATTTAAAAATTTTATATATTTATTATATTTATTATAAAAATTTCAAAAAACCAAAAAAATATATTAATATATCAAAATAAGATCTTTTATAAGAAAAAACAGATCTAAAGATTTTGCTTTCTTTTTAATTATATAAAAAAAAACTTATAATAATTATTATTATTTTAAAAGGTTATTTTTAATTAAAAAATCAAACTTTATATTTAAATTATTTATATTGTTAACTTAAAACATTAGCAGCATATATAATACTTATCTTTTAATATTATTCAATATATTTTATTATATTATAAAAAACAAAAAATTTCAATTCAAAAAATTATAATTAATTTATTATTATTAATTGGTTATTATTTTAAATCTAATCAATCAAACATATCTATATAATTATTATATTATAAAATAATTAATATAAACAAAATTTATTTTAATATAAAACCTATAGGTCTATAGTAATAGTGATTAATACTTTACAAATCAGATTACAAGATTTCTGTTCAATTTTAGATAAAGGCAGTTAAATAAAATTAATATGATATTTGGCATCATAATCAGAAATGTGCAATTTCTTATAAAAAGCCATTTCATATCCTAATCCAGTAAATATTGAAATAGTGATCTTAAGAAAAGATATAGTGATACAACAATTATCTAGTTGATGTTACAATAATCATCAGAAGTTATAAGATATATAAGGTATCTGATTTAGTACAAAATAATTTAATGATCACTTCCTATAATACCTGGTGTCTTTTCTATAAAAAGGTTATCCGAAAGTCCCATTCCAATCTAGTAAAAAGCCTACACCTATATCGCTTTTCTTGAGAAGACATCTAGTATTCCCAAGTAGTCACAAGACTATTGTAAGTTATAAATCTATAGTTATAAGCATCTTAAACATCCCTGAGCTATAATAGGAAGATAGGAATTAAATAGTTAAAGATCAGTTACAAGTAATATGAAGTGGTAAAATAATCTTGAGTAGGGTTTATTCATTAGAAAAAGATATTATCTCCAGTTTCCTACTTTCTCCTTCCCTTAATACATCCTTTAAATAAAATTTAAATAGTATAGTGATACTAAAATACACTAGTAGAATCTTGGTATACTAGTCTTGATCCCTTTGCTATAATTCAGGTTATAGAATAAATCAATAATTTAAAGCCAGCATTTAGAAAAATCTTGATATAGTTCAATATACAAGATATAATAGAAATTATAGCAGTGGTTATATATTCAATATATGTAATCAATTTGCAAATCTCTATAATAACAAAAGTATACTGAACAACAGCTCCAGTTAGTATAGAAAAAAAAATTTATTCTAATATAATAATTAAAACCAAATTGATATAAAAAAAAACTATTTTCTACTTCCTCTTCTATACTTAAAAATTTCCTTTTTAGAAAACTTTTAAGTTGTTTATTTTTTTTGTTTTCTTCTTTCTCTTCTTTTTTATTTTCCTTCTCCTATACCTCTTTATTTCTCTTTTTCTATTCTCTATTCTCTCTTTTATATACTCTTTTATTTACTTCACTCCTTTCTCTTCTCTTTTTCCTTTCCCTGCCAAAGTTAAATTTTCTTTTCTTCCTAAAAATTTTTCTTCTAAGCCTCTCTCTCATTTATAAATTCCACTTTTCATAACATCACTCCTCTGGCCAATCAACTCTCTTTTTTCAAAATCATATTCAGAAGTAATAACTTCTCTCAAGATATAGACTTTAGATTTTTTCTCTCTTCTATAATCATACAGAAAAAGAACAAATGATTTACCCTCTCCAAAAGATTGGCATGGTCATTATTACCAAATCTGGTGTTGTTTACTTGTTAATAGTTAGACTAAATATACAGTGTGAGTCATAAATTTTTAGAATTGGTTTTTTTAATATAATTTTTTTAATAACTATTTAAATATTATGAAAATTTATAGAAATATTTTTGAAATCA